TTTACTTGATAAACATGGGCTTTATGTATGTATTTAGCTTGATATCCGTGTATCTGAGCTCAAAATTACCTCTTTGATTTGCTTAAGGAAGTAATATATGCTTATCTGCTCATCTATAGGTGAAGATGGACAAGATGTTGTCAATGTCGGAAACATTAGTGTTAACAACAGCATCACTTCAAGTTTTTCTGAATCCTCAAGACAACATGGAGCTCAAAGTATCAGCATGACTTTTCCGCTGGCGTTGCCCCCTCCTCCTCCTGCTGCTTTTCTGGGTTACACTCTTCCTCCTGGGCATCCATGTAATACATTCACTTTGCCTCCCCCACCAGCAGATAAAAAAAGAACTGGACCACGACGTAAGTTTCTACATTTTCTTTGATATTTTTTTTTGGTTATTCCAGATTTATCGTTCTCTCTCTCTTCCTCTTCTCTCGAAAAATATTCTGCATTACGTTCTTTTAAAATTCAAGATGGCAAGAATATTTGGCACTAAGATAAGTTAGCAACTCATGTGATGTTGCTGAGTTTCTTCCTTCTTTACGTTTCAGCTTGTCCAGTATGTTACCTTCCTGTGGAAGAAGCCATAGCCTTGATGCCGAAGGTCCCTTCATATTCTCCGGTTCTTAAGAATTTAACATACATTTATGAAGAGAATTTATCAAGAGATACAGAATTTGGAGGCTCAGATTTTGGTGGATACCCTACATTGAAGCAAAGGAGTGATTCTTATGATATAAGAGAGTCAATGAGTGTGCACTGCGGGTATGTTTCTCCCTTTTTGCTTTCCCTTCGTCACATTTTCTAATATTATTTTTTTATACCTGTTTTTTCTTTTTTGAATTAGTTAGTCTTGTAATAATGAGCTTCTATTGGCTCTACTCATTTAAGTTTATTGTGCATTTTGCTTGGCGGATTTGAGCATCAATCAGATTTGTTAGAGGAAGTAAACCTGGGCGGACTACAGGATATGATTTGGATGAGGTTGACCTAAATGATATGGAGCAGTGTAATGGAGTGGTTGTTGCATCGGCTATATTTGGTAATATGCGGTAAATTTTCAATTCAACTTTTTATTAGATATATATGGTGGATTCCTTATCAATTGAATTTTGTTTTCATCAGGAAATTTTGATGAGATAAACCAGCCAAGGAACATTAGTGATTATTCCAAGGAGACCGTTTGCTTCTACATGTTTATAGATAATGTGACAGAAGCTTACTTGAGGACATCTGGAAAAATGGGCAGCGATCGGAAAGTTGGTATATGGAGAACTGTGGTTGTGCATAATCCTCCTTACACAGATGGAAGGCGCACTGGGAAGGTAAGATTTCTAATTTTTTGCAAGCAAATTTTTTCAACTCTAGAGTGGAGTTGTCCTTGGTTATAGTTTCGTAAAGTTGGCTCTTCAGTTATGGAAATCCGTAGACAGGTGTTTATCATGTTGTGCAAAATTTGATCACAAGTGAGCAGTATAATGATTTGGGAACATATAAGATATCATTTAAGCTTCTCTAAAAGGAGCAAATGAGTTTAGTGTGAATGGTTCTGTTTCCATGCATTTAAATGTGTCACTAGGATAATGGGGCTTTCTTTGCCGAATGCTGTGTTTTATATACATGTGTTATACCTTGACGGAACTTTGATGCAGATTACATCTTTTGCAGATTCCCAAACTTCTAGTGCATAGGATGTTTCCTAATGCCCGCTTTTCTTTATGGATTGATGGGAAACTTGAACTTGTCGTGGATCCATATCAAATTCTTGAAAGGTATATCTGATTGAAATTTTCACATATATCTAGCCTTAGATCAATTTATTTATAGGTTATTTTTTTTTCGCCAAAACAAAATTAAAAAATTTATAGCTTAAGCTTAGTATAAGTAGGTCTTTGTAATTTTGTTTTTCGGAAATTAGTTTGGAATATCATCGGTATCTTGTTCAACATTTTGGCCAGGTTTTCTTAGAAGCAACTTCCAAACGCCCAGATGCAAAATAATAACCATCTTAGTAATGTTGCGAAACAAGTGCATTTTCTGCATGATATCTTTTGTTCAATTTCCTGGTTACCTCTTTCTGATGTAATTTTGCATCTTACAACCACGTCTGACTGTGGCACGTTCATGAATTATCATATGCTTCTCAACTTACAAAATCAGTGCTTTGAGTCCTAAAAGCTGCTTCCCCTATTTCACTTTCCTTTATGTTCGCCCCTCCATATATTTTGACTCGCACATAGTTGACTAGTCCAACTCTAGTCATATATGGCTAAACTTTCTGTTTATATTGCTTTTTCTGGGACATTATGTTTTGTTTTGTGTGAACAAAATCAAAATAATGCTCCAGTATGGATGAAATCTGTAGAAACACGACAAGATATTTGAGTCTTCTGACACTTATATTAGGGTACTGTCCATTTATGTACCCCTTTCGTTTGGATATGAAACATCAGATTGAAAAGCAAATTGTAACCGGTCCAAAGTGAGTCTTTGCTCTTTCTTGCTATCTTTATTCAGCCGGGTTTACCAGCATCAATGCTTATGCTTCCATGAAAACAAACATTTATTTCAGGTTCTTGTGGAGAAAGAATGCAACTTTTGCAATTTCTAGACATTATAAACGCTTTGACGTGTTTACGGAAGCTGAGGCAAATAAAGCTGCTGGAAAATACGACAATGCCTCTATTGACTTCCAGGTTGAATTTTACAAAAGGGAAGGTTTGACCCCATATTCTGAGGAAAAGCTTCCCATTACAAGTGGTAGGTGGAACTTCACTATGCTAAAACATATTGTCTATGTTTCACTTTACTATAAGTTTTCGTGTTTTTGCCTTGCTGCAGACGTTCCTGAAGGATGTGTTATAATAAGGGAGCATGTCCCCATCAGCAACCTCGCCGCTTGTCTTTGGTTCCATGAAGTTGATCGTTTTACTTCCAGGGATCAAATTAGTTTTTGCATAGTGAGAGACCACATTCGGGCAAAGACAAACTGGACTATCAGTATGTTCTACGACTGTGAAAGGCGCAATTTTGTTGTTCAGGTACGCGTGCGTATGTTTTGGAAGATAAATGATCGTTATTAAGAACACCGAAGAAACACCTTTTTTCCCTTTGGGAAGGATGTGTGGTGGTCATCGGGTGCAATTGCAGTTCAATTATTTATCTTTTTCTTATGTTCCTTGATGCATTTTATGTATGTTTTTCGTCGTCTACAGAAATATCATAGAGATGTATTGGAGCATATGGCTCCTCGTCTTCCTAAGGCTGTTCCTCCACCACCGCTATTACCACCACCACTACCTCCCTCACTCCCAGCTTTAAGTAACGAACCACCAGTTAAACCATCAACCGAAACTTCACCCGAAAGGGTTGTAAACGCCCCAGCTAAGAGGCCTCCAAGGCGCGGGAGAGATAGGAGGTCGGGCTCTAGGCGTCACCGCAAAGTTGTTGCCGGTGGTAGAGACATTGATTCAAGTTAAAAGTTTTGTTCAAGAAAATTACATCATTCTTTAAGCCTCCCCCTTTCGAAATTCGTTCACGGCGGCGGGGACGGAGGATTTCGTGCAAGATGAGTGTCCTAGCTCTGCTTCAACATGGAGCGGCTTTCTCCTCATTCTTTCTACCTTTCGGAATATTGTCAAAGTTTAATCAATTTTTTGTTGTATATATATAAGTATAATTTTCCCAAATTAAAAATAATATGGGTTGCTAGTTGCTACCAAAACCCCCTCATATGTAGTGGCCCATTTTGCCCTTTCAATTACCATTGTACCCCCACCCACCCAAAAAATTATATACTAGTAGCTACACACTCATGTCTTTTAATTTGAAAAATCAATAAAGTTAAAGAAAGTTCCTGAATTAACCCTGGTGCGGGCTTGATCTCCACCGAATCTCTCCTCCCTAACAACTAATAATTAACTAACTAATGCTCTCGTTTGCCCAAAAAAAAAAAAAAAAACTTACTTTCCTCTATTTTTTTTTCTTGTCTCTAATTCTTAATCTGAAAAAACAAAAAGTTGTGTTTGTCTATTGTCAATCAAACACGAGTACATCAGTTAGTAAGGTAAGACGGCATACGTGATGAGTAGATATGTTATTGAGTAATCAAATTGTTCAATCAATTTTTTATTTGTCTGTTTTTCAGCAATGATCTTCAAATGAGAATGAAAAATATAAATGATTTTAATTATAAAATTTAATTAGAAGTAGACGATTTCTAGGTCTATCCGCAACCAGGAACCTCCAAAAAAAATTTTAATTAAGACGTCGTATGCAAAATTAAACGCTCTTAATCACTTTATTACAATTTACGCTCGCGTATTTTTGGTCGGTTAGTAGGACAAGAAGCCCTTGATCTTCTGCTCAACTGAATTGAAACTGTAGGTATCCACCACATCAGCTTCAGACGACGTCGTTTCCCACTTTTGTGTTTGGAGACAAGGGCAGCTGGACTTTGGATTGTCTGCCTTCCGAATCTCATACATTTCTCATTCTCTCTTATATTCTATGGTTACGGTTAAGAGCATATTAACATTTTGTATTAATTTTTTTTTATAAAAATAATAAGATAAAAAATAATAAAAATATAAAATATTAACATAATTTAATTGTAACTACAGAAACAAAAAAAATAATAAAGCTATAGAATGGAAAGGACAGACAATCCAGATCTGGTTCCCGACTGCAGAATACTTATGGAATCAGTAGGTCCCAACGGAATCTGTCGGCACTGCTACGATCTCGACACGTGTTCATCCAAGACAAATTAGTCCACCGCATGCCGACTGTCGACGTCCTCTGGGGCCCACCGTACCCTTATCCTGGAATCTCACCGTATCGAAAAACTAGTAGAAAACCGAGAACACATTTTTGAATTTTTCCTCCCTGAATCAGAAATTGAACAAAAAAAAAAAAAAAGAATAATAATTAATCATCTTTCTGCTTCACCTTCTTCCCCAATTCTCAGAAACTAGGGTTCTTGGTAGCATCATAACGATGCGTACTGCACCGACGCCGCGATAAATCAATCACAGCCGTCCGATTGATCAATGTCATCGCCGGCGCCGTCGTCGGCCTTCTTCGTCATCTGCCTCCTCCACTCCCTAATCGCCATATCCTGCGGGGCACTCATGATGTTCTACATGACGGAAGTCTACACCTTCGGGCACGGGATCGAGACCGCCCAGAAGCTGCTGGGGTCCACTCCCCACGACCAGCTCCTGATTCGGACCTGCGACTCCTTCTCCGGCCTCCTCCTCTTCGCGATCGGCTTCCTGCTGCTCATGGTCTCCTTCGTGAAAGATTGCGAGTTCCAGAGCTTCTTCGCCAAGGGGTGCACGTTGCTCCACGTTTTCATGGCGCTGTGGAGGTGCTACTTCGAGCGGCGGGTGGAGGACCTCGCCTGGGACTGGCTGAGGCAGACGGTCGGCGACGTCGTGCTGGCGGCGTCTTGGGTTTTCTTCCTTATTTTCTCCTGGAGAGAAAAGTACGACTAAGCCCCCCTTCTTCCTCGTAATTTACGGCCTGTTGTTTTGTTATAAGTTGTTAATTTGCCTTATTAATGGGTAGTATGTCGATTATTGAGAAAGTGTGGAAAATTGGAGTCTCTCAGTGTTTTTTTTTTCTTTTCTGTTTTTCTTTTTTTGTAAGAAAGAAAAAAGGTGTTTGCTTATTGGTTCAGTTACATGTTAGTGGAATTTTGGCGATCTTTGTTGTAGATATTTACTTTTGTGGATAATGAAAGTTGAAACACATCATCCTTCGGTGGTCGTTTATGTTCATGTCCCTTCTTTTATTCGAGCGATATTCTAAACTAAACTAAACGGTGAGGGAGATTCAGACTCGAGTGAGATAGGAAGGTGCATTCCTCTAACTAATTTGACTACGCCCACGTCGCCCGTGTTTGTTTATATTAAACCATAATGACTGGGTGATAAACCGTTGCCCTAAAGGCTTGAACTTTATCAGCTGATAATCGTGAGGGTGTTTATCTTGAATCTTGAAGGCAGTTAAAATGTGTAGAAATCGGAATTTGGATTTATAGGAATTTAAAGGGGTTGTAAGTGGTGATGACATTATAGTTTTTGTTACAATATTTGGGATTGCAAATCTGCTTGTTCTCGTGAAAGGGAGTAGTGAACTGCTATAATGCTAGTTCTGCCCACTTCACTCGTTTTGAGCTGGCAAACTTCTGATATGTTACTCTCATTGACGAACAAAACACATTCCCACGAAGTTCTGATCTAATTTGGGTAATTGTTCTGTTCGGTTTGCGTTGATTGTGCTGAAGTAATGTCTACTGATAGCATTGCTTCATCCAAAACAATATAGCTTATACAATAGCAGTCCACTGTTAGTATTTTGTTTGATGTACAGTACGTCTGGTGTGGAGCGATAGTTGGCTTCTGATCGTCACCTCAATTAGGTTTTGTCTTTTGGCTGAGGATCATGGAAAAGGAGTAGGGTTGGTGCCAAGTTCAGAAATTGCTATTCGTTTGATTAACTTCAGACTGATATACTATTTGGCACTCCTCTGCACGTAACCCCTGGTTCTGAGCTTGGCATGAGCAGCTGGTATGGTGATACTCCAGCCCTGCATCTGTTCCGAAGGTTTGAGTCAGCATTTCTTTGTTCAATCTACTTCTCAATCCGCTTCATCTCATTGGAAATCTGTAGAATGCCTCAGTGATCACCATGGCAGCTGACCCTCATCCGATGAGTGCGTTGAAAGGATATCTATTACAGCCATGTAAACATCGTTGCTTCAAATAAACCTGGCAAGTATTTCTGTGGATCCGTTATGAAAGCCGCATGCTCTGGGTCATCCTCTTGCGGCAATTATCTCCGCATGTATGGCGGGCGGGCCGGGACAGTGCAAATGAAAAAAGGATAGAAGTGCGCACAATCATGCTACCTGCCACTAGGGCCTTCCAGAAGGCATGGAAGGCCATCTCTAATTGAAGGGTTCAGAGGGTCGAAAATAACCCAAAAATCGTCTTCAACCTAGGACCAGGTCAAATGGCTCGTGAGCTCTACTGGACAAAAAAAGGTCAAAGGGCCAACTAGCTGGCCCAACCTAGCTATCCAGCCCCAGGACGGACCAGAAATTTGAATGCAACAACTAGTTAACATCAGTTAGCCATTATATTTGAATTTTTTCTTTTTGGACCAAATGTTTTTAAAAGATATTTAATTATAGGGGCAAAGGTGATTTGTTCAAAGTTGGACATTGGGATGTGGCTTTTATAAGCATGTTTGGTTACTTAAATCTCTCCCACCCATTTCCATTTTTTTTCCTACTTCGTCTCCCAAAGCTGATGTGGACTCTCCCACCCACTTCCTTTTTTTTTTCTTCTTTTTTTTTTTTTTAACTCTAAGTAAAACCTATCACATTTGACTTGAAATATATAAGTTGTATTTTTTAAATTTTACTTGTAGTTATTAAATTTAAGTTGTATTTTTTAAATTTTAGTTGTAGTTTTAAATTTAAGTTTTTGTAGTTTTAAAATTTAAATAATAAATTATGTTTAGCTATTTGGTCCTCGATTGGAGATGATTTTTTGTGACAGAACTAAAACAAGCTCTATGACACTTTGGCCCTCAGTTGGAGTTGGAAAAAAATATGACCATGCATTGTTCATTAAAATATTAATTTCTTGAATGATCAGATGACTAAAACGAGCCATACTTTCGGTTGGAAATGGCCTAACTTGCTCAATTTAACTTGCTCCACTATTCTTTGTTTTCAGGGTATATATATCAATCAATTTCAAAACCTAAGCCTTCAATTGCGATTCCCCTTTCCCATCCCCAACCTACATGGTTTTATTCCTTCTTCACCCTACCCTTCCCACCTGTCTCCGGCTTTCCTCCACCCCACATATTTACAAATTAATCTGCAGTCACTCGCCTTTAACGCGTTTTGACGCGATTTTCTCGGAGGTACGTAGAGCTCCGGCGTAGGTGTTCACACCACCACCTTCCATGGATGGGAAGTGCGTTTTGCTCCGGCTCAGGTGTTCACAGCACCATTTCCCATAGATTTGTCCTCGGTGGGTTTTTTGCCTTCAATGACCTTGTTGCTGATTGGTCATATCTCACTAGCTTTCTTTGGGTTGTGGTTGCTGTTCTGATCTATGTGGTGCTTTGTTGAGTCGTTTTTTCCATCATTTTTGTTGATTTGAATGGCTGGATCTCTGTTTCTCCGCGATACTTCGGCGGCCACAACTTAAGCAGGATTGTAAGGTTTTTCTGTTTCTAGGCTCAAATTTCTTTTGGGTTTTGGTTTTGGGGGTCCATATCTTCTTTTGTGCTCTTCATGTAATTGCGCCTCTTCTTATGCGATTATAATTTGTTGGTAATAAATTTATCATCTGACACAAAAAAAAAAAAAAAAAATCAATTTGGTTGGAAAAGGAAAGGGTTCAAACTATTTGTTTTGAATTTAACCATTTTTTGAACGGATAATAATACTTGCATTCCTCTTTTGGGAATGAGCTTCTTCCTTCTTATGAATAATGGATCTTGATCATACAAATTTCATTATCAGAACTGTTTTATTTCTTAATCTTCATTTAAGATCAATCTTACATAAAATCATTACAATCGAGATGATTTAGTTATTCAAATGTATAGAACAAATCGACAGTGTAAGTACCAAGTAAAATATTCATGATGAACTGTCAACTTAATTAATACGTTTGGATAATTAAACGACATCCAATTTGAATGAATTTTTGTAAAAGTGATAACCAAATGAATATTAATAAGTTGAACGGTTTGATCGTTGATTTTATTCAATCAAAATACGTTATTTCTAAATGGAAGGATATGTGCATCCCCAAATGCGGATGCAAGTATTATGGTATTGTACAAGGAAGATTACATTAACTGGTTGATACTTATAAATTAGTTATATATAAGAATTTAACTGCCTGGAATTAACCTCAGATTGTTATACTATTAGGAACTCCTCTGCATGTAACACCAGGCTCCGAGCTTGGCATGAGCAGCTCATATGGTGAGACCCCAGCCCCACATCTGTTCCTCAGATTTGAATCACCATTTCTTCCTTCAATATCCTTCTCAATTTTCTTCATCTCCATTGAAAACCTATAAAATGCTTCAACAATCTCAGTGTCAGCTGACCACGTCGACAATAAATCCTTCCTTTCCCCAATATACTCCTCATCAGACGAGTGAGCAGAAATGATGTCGATAACTGCCATATACTTTGTTGCTTCAAAAAAGCTAGGCAATGATGACAGAAAATATTGCTGTGGTTCCCTTATGAAATTGGCGTACTCATCGGGATCATCGTGCTGATTTGGCACTAGTCTTCTCATGTGTGGTGGGCGAGTTGGGACATAACCACCGTATGGATACTGGCCAAAGTTTAGGGCAGCATGTTGGGCGGTTGTGATCCAAATTATGGTGGTGAGAATTGCGATTAGGTCATTTGGGGTTGAGAGTTTTGGCCACCAGCTTGCATGGGAAAGATCTGCATGCCCTAAATTGATTGACTCGTGGTACCATGCATGGAGTTCTGTGTCTGATTGAACCACACTTGCATCAGAGTAGTAGTAATTCACATAGGTTTGAACCAATCTCTCAATTGCTGACCATATGAGGAGTCCATCTGTTGCATACGGGTAGTCTTCAATTAGTAGTCTTAGCCCATGGGGTTGAGTTGGGTCTGGTATTGCTACTCCTCTACATATAGAGACGACAATAAAGTTAATAAGATATCAACTCAAGGAAAAGTTTACGCATCTTTTGCAAGACAATGTAATATATTAGGTTGTCAGATTGTCAATCCGAACAATTAATTTGGTGAAACTAGCTTGTCCAAATATGATGTTAAAGTCAGACTAATAACAAAATAGATGGATATGTTTGGCAATAAACATAACGTCCGAACCTTCTAATGAGATCTGCCGGAAGGCCTTCAAGGTCAAAGCGCCACCATTCTCGATAAGCCGCACAACTAAACTCCATGGAATATTTGCCAGGAGTGAAATTAGACTCGATGATGCCTCCAGCGTTGATGAGCTCCTGACGAGCCAATGCATTTACCTTCAAGGTGTATCGCATGTGAGGTTTGAGGAGCTTGTAGATTGGGTGCATTACACTCAAATGGCGATGAGCTGCTATTATAAGTGGTTCCATGCATGCATGAACGCGTAACCTGTTTTAAAATTCAAAATTTTATCATTGGTAGCAGAGTAGAAAGTTGTCTGATGAGTCTAAATGAATGTTTACGATTACGTCAATCCTCCAAATTATGGAAATTGTTGTGCATACCAATGATGAATTAGTTGATGAACACCGGCATCATTGGAGCAGACATGGGCTTTTCCTAGTTGCCAAAGCCAATATGCTGTAGCATCAACTGGAGGTGTGAGAACCTGCTTATTGGACGCTGAACCTGACTTTGTTGGAGGCAAACTGAGCTCAATAGCAATTGGCTTTAAAGTTCCCAATGAGGTCAAGAACAAAATTGTACGTGTTCCATAAGCTTTTCGGTCATCCAAAGTATTTATTTGGTTGAGAAATGGAAGAAACATGTCATGATAGTCTAATATGAACAGCTTGTTTTCTTCCAATGCCTGCAAATTAAACACAATTTATTGTAGTGAATTCTATCATGATCTGTATCACTATAAAACATATATCTTTTGGCATCTGATGGTGATGAAATTTAGAGTTTAGGATTTAGCTCTTTTGGTATGATGAGTTCGCTCTTGTACTATGCGCATGTAACAGAAGATTTGCGTACAATATACATACCTGTTGTACGGACATTCCATCAAGATGGCCTATTAAATGTTCCTCCTCGAGTGCTGACTCTTGTGAGCCATAGATGGATGAATCAAGTTTGCTTACGGGTGGGAAAACTGTAAGCCTTTCTATGCTCAGAGGGTTTATGCCTGCAACTGCTTGACGCCCGAATTCGTCGTCTCTTAAACAAGATGATGTATCCCCTGAAATAATTATGGGAGTGAGATTGTATACATTTAAACTGGAACATTTCTGTATATTACCACGTTGAATATACTGGACAGAAACAATTTACATCCCAGAAATTAGCCTATACAATATCTTTCCTTTCCTACACTCCTATAATCAAGGGTAAATTACAATATACAGATTGGGAAAATCAATCCCAAATCATTCTTTATTCTCAACACTCCCCCTCAAGTTGGAATGTATGTTGATAATTCCCAACTTGCCAAGTAGATCGTAAATTATGTGAGCCGTTTTAAAATCAATCCCAAATCCGTCTTATCAAACTGATAGGCCTAGCGGCTTTGTGAACTTGTCCGCAGGTTGCTATGAAGTTGATGTGTGAGCCGTTTTATAATCATTCCACTTTGGAACTTTTCCCATACAAGATGGCAGTCGATATCTATATGTTTAGTCCGTTCATGGAACACAATATCGATGCTATTAGTGGTGGACTACGGTCTGTCTCTCTGAAACTTTAACATGGTATTAGAAAGGGTTTTAGATTTGGGCCAAATTATTGGTTTCGCTTACAAACATGACTGATGTAGCTCTACGTATGACCAAATTCAAAGTGGTCCGACGTGAGGGGGCATGTTAAATAAAGCAAATGGTCTTACATCGGTTAACTTAAAAACAAATACACTTATATCAAATGGTTCCATTTCTAATTGCATCAAGGTATTTTGTATAAAAACTCCATACCAATTGATTGCACGGGTGATTAAGTGGGGACAATATCAATTTTATTAGTGGTGGAATGCGGCTAGTGGCAGAGGTTGGATTTGAACTCATTTAGGTCATGATAAAGAAGTAGATGTTTTAAAATTTTGTTAGTTAGATATATAATTCATGACTGGTTCTTAAAATTTAACTAGTCATTGTATGACGTCATTATCAATAGTATCATTATTTATTTCGACGTATACAACCAATTATAACCATATAGTGATCTTAAGTTCTTGACCGTATGATATTAGAAATTTTTTTTTTTTTCCACTTAAGCAACGACAACCTTTAATTTGACTCCCATAAGCAAATACACCACTTTTAAAGATTATTGATCAATCCTTTCAATTGATTGAATCAACTATACTGTTGATTAATAGTGTCTTGATAAATAATAGAAATCAAAAGCATGCAGATATAAACTTAAACTGAACCTAATTATTGGAGATTCTTATTGGGGTATATGGGGATCAATAGCAAAATTGTGTGGAATAATATAAAGTTGTTGGGGTCATGTGCCCACACCACCCCGCCACCACCCCCCCCCCCCCCCCAACCCCTCTTTTCCCTCCCTCCGCTACTGAACGCATCACTCTGAAACTTTAACTGTTTGATCCGAAATAACTATTTTTTACTTCATTAAGATGATATATAAATGCTTACTTGAGATTAATTTTGGAGGGTCAAATTTGAGGTTCTCTTGGACTTTGGTAAAAATCTTTGCCAACGGAAGCTTCATCTTTCGTTTCTTGTTTTCAAGCAAAGACGACTCGCTATACAGACCGTTGATGTCTGAGTAGCCCTTGAAAAATTTACTGTCCCTAACAATGGTTGTTACTGTAGGTATTATATGCCTTAGAATACCCTTCAACTTTCCAACTTCAAGAGCTTCTTGCTTGGCCTCCTCAAACTCCTCGTCTCTAGGCACATAAATTGTCGTGGATTCGTTCACTGGTGACTCCATATTCTCGTCTGTCTTGGTCGGAGGGCGGCCAGTTCGACAACGTCTAGGGTGTGGATTCTTGTTGCCTCCAAGAGTCGGTCTTACGAATTCAATTCCCTTATCTGGATTTCCAATGTCGTTGTATGTGTCGTAGTTGTATATTCTATCGGACGGTATTCTAAGTCCTCTCCCATCACCTCTTAGCTGCCTTAGCTCCATTTCTCTTAGCTCTTTCAACCCTTCTGGTGTCTCACCAGGTAAGTATGCCTGCAAAATCCAAAGCCTCAAAGTCGTGATGATCAGCGTGTAGGTAATCAGATTTCAATCTCGCAACACATGTACTAAACAATTTTACATAAATGAAAAGAAAATAAATCGAAGTATTACTGCAATTTTTTAATCTCTTAACATACTTTGGTCCAGATTTACTTTTCATTTTTTTTTCAAAGGGCATCCAGCCCAAGCCAACTAACCTAACTTGGTCCAGATTCACAGTTTGACAATAAATACCAAACTGTGTGCATGTATATACATGATCGTCAACTTAAGTTCGGTGTCTCAAGTACCTTAGAAGAGAAGAAGATTCTTTGTACAGACATCACCTTCTGTGGTTGAACCCAAGAATTGCACGGAAAATCAACAACACCTTCAATGTTGACGCTTTCTAAGTAGAACTCGTTTTCATATCCATTGCTCACCGTGATGGCTCCTGGCATCCCAAATTTTGGATCCACCATAAATTTGACTTCGTAAACGCTCTTCTGATCAGAGCCCATCTTTAGGTTCTTTGTCCAAACCAATCTAGCTTCATCGCTCCGCTTTGGCGACATCCGATCTTAATTTGTTTCAACACACAAAATCAAAGGAAAATTAAGTCAAATATTGTAAACACGTCAATGGGAGAAAGACTTCGGAAATTATAGTTAAAAAAAAAAAAAAAAAAATCACAGTTTGGTATGTACGTAACAAACAGTTCGTTGCTAGAATCAATTAGGCAGTCGTTAGTAATGGAATCAATTAGGCAGCTTACTTGATTCAGTTTCAGTACTAACAAGCTGTAGTAATAGAATCAATTATGCAGTGGTTAGTAATAGAATCAATTAGGCAGCTTACTTGGTATGTACGTAACAAACAGTTCGTTGATGTAACGATATTGGTAGTAATAGAATCAATTAGGCAATAGTTAGTAATAGAATCAATTAGGCAGCTTACTTGATTCAGTTTCAGTACTAACAAGCTTTAGAACAACACCCTCTTGATTATGACGATCAAGAGCATGATTGTCAAACCAATGAAGCATCATGTCCATGACATTTATGATCTTTTTCTGACTTTTCCGAACAGTCACCAGCGCAGTGAGTTCCAACATCGTCGCTGCTGCAGGTTTCTCTACATCAACTGCAGCGGAGAACTTGCAACAAACTATCTCTGCAAATGCCGCCCTCTTCTTACTCATCGCTCGGAATCTAGTTCTCTTTGTTGAAGGAAAGAAAATGGCCGAGGAAAATTGCTTGTAACAATTAGCATGCCACATGATATCCATTTGTTTTGAAATGTGATTGGGATGAGTAAGTGCACCCACACTCATTGCCATATAGCTTAATTGGGTGTAATAACTATAGCCTATATATAGAGTAGGATGAGCGAGGACCGTAAGGCCATCTTCAGCCAAGGCGAATAGGCCACATTTTGCACGAAAATTGACAAAATCAATCTCAAGCTAAAGGCCTTAATTAAGATAATCGGGCTAAAATAAGTAAGCTAAGTTTGGCTTCAAGACAAACAACATATAGGAGAGAGGATCCTCCAATTACATATGTTCATCATGCATCGTGCAGCCAGTTTTCGTTAAGTACTGTTTATATTTAATTTTAAATAAAAAAATTTACAATGATTTTTAATCGCACGATGTACGATGAACATATGTGATTTGAGAATTTCTGGAATCCTCACAAAGAGGATCCTTTAACCTCAAGAAGTAATAAAATACAGGCTACTAGAAGAATTGGTCATATCTACACACTTTTTCAAGGAGGCAGATTCTCTGCCCTCCCACTTCCTGTGCCCTCCTGTTTTGTATGATCACAGTTAAATCATATCAATATTTTATATTATTTTTCTATAAAGATAATAAGATAAAAAAATAGTAATATAAAATGTTGATGTAGCTTAACTGTGACCATATAAATAAGAGGGTACAGAAGAACACAGGAAGTGGAAGGATCTGCCTCCCTTTTTCAATTCATTCGACAAGACCAAAAATTTAAGAATATGTGCAAAAGTAGAAATAGAGTATCTGGATCACTATAAAAAAAAAAAAAAATTCAGTCCTATGTAGTCTTTAAATTATTAACTTGTAAAAAGCTAAAACCAAAATGGTCTAAATTTACTTCTCTCCCTACGAGTGTCGCTTGTGTCGCGATATAGATGTAATATGGCCCACACGTATTAACTATCACACCGATGAGAGATTTTTTAGTATGATCGGTACATAGGATGGTACATTACGTGTCACTAAACAAATGGTGGGATATATGTGCTAAAAAGTTAATAACTTAAAAAATAAAAGTTCCTACCATTCATATTAAAAGATGTAATGTACTACTTATGTTCCTGTCACAACTAAATTTTTCTCCACACCGACAGCTCGCAAAAATGATGCTTCTCAATTTATTTTGAACTCACATCGTCAGACCAAGATTCAATACATTTTCACTACTATCGCAAAGAGTACCTTACACACTTTTTAATTACTAGACAATATAATCATGTAACACGTTTAATTGGTTTCTCGACTGTTTAATTGGTTTCTCGACTGTGTCTGTGCGGCGTAGGGAACATAATCACGTAACAGGTTTAATTGGTTGCCATAGTATTGCTGCTATTCTGTCTTTACTGATAAGCACCAAACATATTAATTATTTCTCTTTGACCAAAAGACATTTGTCCATTTTTCTTGTCCTGCGAGAAAATTACATGAGAGTAATTTAAACAAATGGTTGAATTGGCCTGGATGTCAAATTTACTCTTCCAAAAACGAGTCAGTGGTTTATACCACTAATTTACACATTTATCGTCTGCAACCATAGCATCTTACCACATATTAACATAATAGGTGAGGATCCAATCCACAACATGATGCATTAATATGATTACTTGTCGTTATTGTGATAAAACGTTATTATCTAAAATATATGTTTTATTAAGAAAAATGATTTTCACACTTTTTTTTACCTTCTCACTTATTCTTATTTATTTTTGTCCCTCAACTTATTAAAATTAAATGAAACAGACAAACCGGTGTTTGAGAAACTAAAAGATGTGTGTGCTTACATCTTCTTGTACTAATAATAAAATCATTCATTTAGTAATTACTAATTTACTATGTCAAGTTTCCGCGGTAGGATATGGTTCTGTAGATTTTTCTTGAGGTCGAGTTAGAGGATGCTCCCGACATGCACGTGAACAAAGGAACCAATTCAACAACGTCGTATGCTATGTGGTCATGCATGCATACGTACCCGCGAATGCTTTTCCATTACGTGTTGTACCAGTCTTAACCTATGTAGAGTAAAACGTGCAAAACGCAAAGCTACGCATATAGATCAACTGCATTGCTTCCGCTCAGCTGCCTCTGCAACATTGTCTCTTGTCTTGCACTGCATATGTCGGCGACGAGTTTTCTGTATATATTTTCAACGAGGGAAGCTTCAAGCCATGACCAAGTTTTGTGAGCTAGCTAAATGATCAATCTTCATGTTGAAATGGGATCGATATGATAAAGATCGCGTTAATAGAGTGATATAACAAATGGTCTTAGTTGTGAGGACGAGAAAGTAAAAACGTCCCATATCATAACAAAAGAAAAACCATATAAAAATAGAGTTGGATTCTCTCTCCTCCGTTTTTCTCTTCCCTCCCCCCTCTCCTCTCTCAGTCGCCTCTTCTTCTTTTCTCTTCAAAGAAGGTAAAACAAGATGATGATGCAGCTTAATCTTGAGTGTTCTAATAAAAGGAGGAGGAAAAAGGATGGGAGAGGAGAGAAACCAAATCCTTTAAAAATTTACATATTAGGAGTTTGACCACTCCTCTATTGTTGATTGATTTTATGCTCAAACTTCGATTTCCTTCACTAGTAACTAGTAATTTGCACAATTACTACATGTCTTTTTTGAGAGGGGACAACATGTATGTGTCTTTACTCTTTACGTATCTTTCATTTTAATTCTACATATGGTTCCTGTGTTCTGACCAAAAAAAATACATATGGTTCCTGTGTGTTGATAGCATAAAACGTGACACATTGAGTTAAATTGCTATATGTTTCACGAGATTTAAAATTAAAATCAAAGCCGTGCATGATTCCGTGAACTCCAAGTCTCCAATATGGATTTTTCTTATTAGAGAAAACAATAATGCTATAGATCAATTGTCAAATGTAGGGGAGGCATCAACCCAACAATGACATGTCTGGCAATGTTTTTCAAAAGCATTTTTGTAAAATGAAAAGAGAAAATATTAAATTTTACGTTTAACATGAGAAGGCAGCCGGTAGGTCATCCGAAACCAATTTTTGAGAAGAAAAAAAATGAAACCGTGTTTGATATTGCATGTGTGTTAAATTCTACTTGTATTTTCACTTTTCAAAAACATAATATAGTGTTATAATTATATAGGAACGCTACTTAATAAATGTTAGGAAGATCAAATTTTTTAGAAAACTTTAATAAAAAAGGTTTGGGCTAAGTTTATTTTAACAGAAAATCATCCTATAACTTTTTTTAATGCAAACGGCTTAAATTTTAATGAAAAATGACAAAAGTTTAATATAATAATAAAAGAAGTAATAAAAAACAGATGTGAATGATCCGCGCGTCAGTCACACACACACACACACTATTTCTGAAACTGAACGGTACTGCATTATTTCTAAAACTGAACGGTACTACACCATTTTTGAAAGCTGAATGTTAATTATTTCTGAAATTAAACACGAATGCACTAGTACAAAAAAATGTTTGCGCAATGAAGCAAATTTCGTCGCGCCAAGTTTTGCGCAACGCTAAATAAAAGGCGTCACGCAAGATTTTTGCGCCAAACCAAGAATGCTTTACCGCTTTTTTCACTACATTGAGTGACGTAAGTACACCTATGTCACGCAAAACAGCTTTGCACGACGCCAATCTTCGTCATGCAAAGTCAACAACTTTTTTCCCATCGTTTAATCAGTTTGGGAGGCATTCATTTTATAGCAGTGACATTTACCAATACACATCACTGATGGCAACATCTTAGCCTGAAAAAAAAAAAAAAAAAAAAAAACAAACAACAAACAAACTGTAGAACTAGAACTAGAGAGTAATTTACACGAAACAGGTCCACTGCCGCCATCATGGCATCTCAATCCAATAATGCAATAAATTTACACATGGCAGTGTATTACCCCTCATATAACGAATAACAAAAATCAAGTATGCCGAAATAATAGTCATGGGACTGTAATATCCCTCCATGTTCTCCTCAATCTATAAAATACTACACCCAGCGTACAACTCAAAACAACCAAGGATTGATCCCAACAGGGGAAAGCACTAGCCTGCGAAAAAAAACATCTCTCCCTTCCTCAACAACAAAACCCGAAACAAAAGCAAAAACGAAAAGTGGGAGGGAGTATCTAAAACATAAGAGTGAATAATTAACCCAACTATCGAAGGATAAGAATTCTGTGGTTTTCATATCCTAGAACAATGCCATATAAACTAATATCGAACAATGTCCTGAAGGCAATCGTAAAAGTGAGTGATGTTTATCTTCTCTTTTCCGGAGTAGATTGCCTCGGCAGATCCTCCTTGGTCGCCCTGAGCTGCCATCTCAATTAACATGTAGAGCTTCTTGATGGGCATCTAGAGAGAGACATAGATGAATGTCAGATATTAAAAGCAGAGAAATATAAAAAGAACGAAGGGATGAAGAAAATTAAGGAGGGCGGAGTTTACATCGTTCAGGGCCTCTGCTGCCGCATCGATGTCTTCATCAGCAAAAACATTCAATTGTGATAGCACCTACGATGAGAAAAAGGGAAGAAATTAGGGTATTACGTACAAAGTTTAAAGTTTCTATAACATCACGTTAGATAAAAACACGAACATGCAGTTCTTCACGTTAGATAAAAACACGAACATGCAGTTCTTATTCCAAGAAATATACACCCAAGATGGCAGACTGCTTTCACTTTTTTTTGGAAGCGAAGCGATACAAGCCTTGTTTTGATAAAAACATGCTCACTGAATCATATTTGGAAGGCGAGAACATTCACTCACCAACAACGTTAAAAGCAAAACAGCTGAAGATGTAAAGCCAAAAAATTAACCACAATGGAAGCAAATTTTTAATTACCTTCTTTGCATCCAACGTCTTTAGTGTGGGAACATTGTAAGTGACAGAGAAGGTATCACAAAAACCAATTGAATCTAAGAAGCCCAATTCACTTGTTGTTCCAATCACCAGAAGTTTTTTACCCTGATGAGGAGAGAAATGTTAAAAACAAATATTATGGGCATCCAAACACCATTATCTTCAGAGATGCAAGAAAAAAGTAATCACATTCCAAAAAATAATCACTCAGCTAACAGATATCCTAATAGGTATCATTGATATTCAATGAAGTTGAGGGTAAATGACGAACCTTTGGAGGGAGACGCTTAAGTAGGACCAACAGTGTTTGAGATATCAAATTGGAAAACCTTGGACCAATAGCAACATACTCCAGTAACCTGTAATGCAAATTAAAAATAACAATTTATTCAAGATAAATGGTTGCTAAAGGCTTTTGGAGACAAGATACGATGAGTCACAAAAGTCAATCAAACTTAGAGCAGCAGTAATGACCTTTCAATATCATCAAGGATAATGATGCTCAACGGTGATTTGTATGCATCCTCAAAAACCTATTCAAAAAATAAAAGAAGTGAAAACAAAAACAAAAACTATATTGATAAGGCTACATTCATCCATATACGTGTCTATACTTACACACACAAGGATAATAAGTAAACAAACAGATCATCCAAGAATACTGAATATTTTGCATTAGTCGGAAAGTTAAATATTTGAGACATGAAAGTGACATCTCTAAAACTAAAATTGTTCAAGAAGACAAAACAAACCTTCACAATTTGTGCACATTTGGTGCTCTCATGAAGACCAATCATTGTCTCAGCCGAAACCTATCCAATTAAAGACTCGTAAAATTTGTAACAGGAATAAAAAGAACATAGATTATTAAAAGACTGGAAATTCTTGAAAAGCATATAAATATGTAAAGTGAAACAAATAATGTGGGAGCTTACAATCTTGACATAAGGAAAATCACTGTCGATGCCAACGGTAGCTGCTAGTGCAGATTTACCACTGTCCAAGATGGGTAAAGTTAAGAATGCTCAAAGTAAACAAAAAGCAAATGAAAATAGAATAAAAATGCACACAATTATGCTTACCTGCCACTAGGGCCTTCCAAAAGGCATGTAACAAGTGGGCTTCCTTTGCTCAATTTGACTTGCTCCACTAATAATAAAGCTCTTTGATAAATGTGCTTATGACGATCACCACAATCCACCATTCCATTAAGTCTACAAATCAAGTGACAGAACCATGAGGAAATGAAATACAAATAAAAACATTTAATAGGCTCCATATTTTGCTTCAAACTACCAAAAAAACATGACGTCATTTTAAAGGGACCAGAATCAAGATTTCTGTACTTTTATGAGGGCCAGTTCTTGGTAGATGGGTCTAATTTAACAAAATGATGAAACTAGGTAAATAGCGGGTCAGATTTATTTACTATTATTCAATAGTTCTGAAGTACAATCTCAAGCCATACCTGCATCTTTGAAGGTCATCAGTGGAGGCTCCAAATGCAGGTACAATTTCTTGGAGTGCATGTAGAAAATCATCCATAGTAACCTTAATACTCTCTTCATCCACTGGCTTGGTAAGATCATCCAAACTTAGTTGTCTATTCAGAGCAAATGACACTGCACTTTTAACAACACCTTCAAGTTCTGCACCACTGTAGTTTTTCGTGCGAGCCGCTGCAAACATGAAAGATATAAGCAAAGCCTTCTATCTCCTTCATGGATACGTAGGAAAGGTTCAAATTATTGTCAGGATCCTTAAAGTTTCATGCATTAAGAATTTGGAACATTAAACAATCGAAAAATATTCCAATCTCAAGGACCAAGGTCATTGATTTTGAAAAAGCATCATACACCTCCGCCTACGTAAAAAAATCTTATTATGTAAGATTACAACTTTTGAGAAAAAGAGGAATTGAATAAAAGGTGAAACAGATTAATAAGGATTTGGCAAGCATGTCACTTATGCACATACCAAGCTCTTGGAGGTTCACATCTGGAGCAAGAAAAGAGCTCTCCTTCATCTTGTTTGTATGAATTTGAAGAATCTGTAGACGACCATTTTCATCAGGAAGGCTTATCTCAATTTGAACTTCCAGACGTCCTGGCCTACAAACAAGAAAAAGACAAAAAATTAGATGTTTACTGAATAAACATGTTGTTTAGTGAGTTTGGAGAGAGTGAGAGAGAGCACCTCAAAAGGGCTTCATCAAGCAAATCCTTTCTGTTTGTCATCCCAATAAGCAAAACATTATTGAGAGACTCCACACCATCAATCTGAAAAAGAAGTTTCACAGACATATTGATGAGATTGCTTAGGAGCACAAAGAAGACATACTGGCCTAGAAAAGTTTGTAAGTTTTTGCAAGACTTAAAAAGTGCAACTGTAAATTTCACCAACCTTCGTGAGTAATTGGTTCACAATACTGTCATGAACCCCGGTACCATCTCTAGTTGATCCTCTTGACTGTATTGCAAAATAAAGCATGTGTTATGGTAAATACTAAATAGCATAGAGTAAGAAACGTTTTGATCCAATTCAAGCTATGCAACTGTGAAAACGAAGGGTTTGGAGGTTTTACAATGTAGGTGAATAAGGAATCTTAGTAAATAGCATAGAGGTAAGAAATCTTTATACCTTACAAATAGCATCAATTTCATCAAAGATTATCACATGCAAGTCACTCTGGTCTCCTGGGGAATTAAGGACATAATGACATTAGAAATTATTGAAAAACCAACCTAAGTGCACTTGACATATATATTTTCCCTTACCGCGAGCCCTTTGATCATTCTCAGCATCAGCAAATAGATCCCTAACATTCTTCTCAGTTTCACCAACGAACTTGCTCAAAACTTCAGGGCCATTAACAATCTACGGAACACAAAATAAAAATCTCATCAATCACCAAAGCATCTTAATAAATAACCTATATAAGGAAAAGTTGCATATCCAAAATCATTCAGACATGCTCAAATAGCTTTGGAACCTTTAAATAATGTACTAGCATCAAAATAATGTGTTAAAGCATGATTCGGCATGGTTCAATGTTTACAGCTGGCAGAACTTAATCGATTCATTACATATGCCTGTTATGAAAAATGAGAATACAAGATTGTGACAATGAGTACCTAGTTTTTAATTTCATCTCAGTTTCATGTGTCATCAGCTGGCAAGTATTATTTGAAATTACAGCCGAAACTTAAAAAACATTCAAACATTCATAAATTTTCAACTTCCGGACCAATGAAAAGAACAAATTCTTAGTCCTAACAGTGCATTTGGATGAGGATATTTTAGATTACTAAGGAATTCCAAATTGAAGGAAATTAAATGATGGAATTTTATTCCTAGAATTTGTGAATTTTGTTGGCTACCTAAAAGGAGTGGTGGTGGTTGACGGAAATTGAAATGACGGAATTTTATTTCCTAGAATTTTTTAATTTTGTTGGCTACCTAAAAGAAGAATGGGTGCCAACTATTTACACAGAATTTAAACTTAGGAGCCCCAAATTCCAAGTTTTTTTTTTTCACACAAAAATTCTAAATTTCTATGTTTATGAATCCAAACAAGGGGATTGGCGTACGTCAATTTCTAAATTCTGAGTTTTGTTCGAATTCCAAGTTTTTTCTCTCATCCAAACAGTGTTTAGAGAATTGACAACTCAGAAATTTGATTATTTAAAAAAAGGTGGATCAAAATCCAAACCTTTGGTTCTTTCCCGTTCAACATCTTTCCAATTTGACGAGCCATGAGAGTTTTTCCAGTACCAGGGGGCCCATAAAGCAGCATACCCTTTACATGCTTAATCCCTAATCTGGAACATCAAAATCTTTCCAATAAGGAGCGTGGTATAAAGATATACCAACAAGATATCAGTGCAGCTTGAAGAATCAGTTATCTTACTTATTTGTCACGTGAGGAGGGAATACACGGGATGCAAAAGCTCTTCGAAATATATCTGCAAACTCAGCACCTAAGCCACCAATTCCAAGCGTTTGAAGATTAAACTCCTTGTGCCGGAAAATGTTGCTACTTGCAGCTTCACGCTGATTTACGATCTGGAGAATACAATTTAGATATCAAATTTCAATACATTATTTGATATTGTATACTAAATGATAATGAAAATGTTCTCCTGTAAATGGCCATCATATCACGACTCTGATTTGCATAGGATATGCAGCTAAATAAGTGATCAAAGGAGCAAGTGCAAAACTGATTTGTCATTGCAAAACCTTCACGGCCAAGTATGAAGTGAGTTCAACCAATCTAATATAGGATTTTGTGTTTTCTTATTGTAAACACAGGGTCATGAAAAACCTAAAATGATAACCATTAGCAACTACATGAAGTTGCGTTTTCTGAACATAGAATAAGGATCTATGTAGCCTGCCAAGACAATGATGCTAAAATATGTCATACAGTCCTTTCCACCGGTTAAAACTACTGGGTCTGACATAATTTGACAATTTATATTAATAAGTAAAGATAAATATCAAAATCTCACCTTTATTCCACTTGCATTTGATGTTTCAAAGATGAAATATGTATCATTCACAATCATCCCTCTTTCAATACCATTATTAGACTTTTCTTGTCCCTCCACTGCAGCTTGATTGACAGTAAAAATGTAGTTGATCCCCTGAAACTCAAATGATACTCTTTGTCCAGCCGTCATGACCTGCACATAGTAAGGCACAATGTTTCAAAACTCATGACCTGCAGTAATATATACTTATGGGAAAGGGGGGAAAACTAAATGAGAGAGAAAGATCCATCAAACAAATCAGGAAATAAGAACACGGCTGATTTTTTTCAAGCAAATATGGCTGAAGTTTGCATCTATTATAACTGAATCAGTACTTGACCACTACGTTCTAAGTTCTAACCAAAATAATTTAGCATGAGTTGCTTTTATTCCTTCCTTAATTTAATGGCAAAATTCACACACGCATTGGAACGATAAGAAATCTTCATTTAGTAATACACGTGTTCAATTTGGTAACTTGCCTCAGAAAGGATCATGTTCGAAATTAGAACAACATTTGTATCATTATTTGTTCGTCTGGTGTGCAAATAAACATATGCATACATTCCTCAACAACAACCAGACGATATAAACAAACATGAAAAACAAGTGTAGACGCAAAAGTTACCTGGTTGATAAACCTTTTCTTAAGCTGCTTCGACAGGGCAACAGCGTCAACCTACAAAACAATCCGGAAGCCCTTCAAATCCCCAATGCTTAAAATGGCATTTGTATTAATACAGAAAACTGAAAACAATAATGTAAAAATTGAAATCGATATGCAAAATACCTGTTCACTCTTAGTGCCTTTCTTCACAAACTCCAAATCCAGCGTAAGCAGGGCCAGATTGAAATCCTCCGGTGGAACAAATCTAAATTATGGATTTCAAAAACACAATTAGAAACCAAAATTGACCAAAACCTCAGCTCCGAGCCAGTGATCCTTTGATTGATTGAGTGCCTGACTAACCTGCTCACAGAGATAGAATCGCCACTAGAAACCCTAGCATGCCGCCGCTGGATTGCGTTCAGCGCAATGTGGCCGCTCTGTATGCTTGGATGACCAGTTTATTTCAATTAAGGCCACCAAAAAACACAACATACACCAACTCCAAGCGACTGAATCTTCAAAAATTCCAACTAAATCATAGCAATTTCACAATTAATTATAATCAAATCATAAAAAAATGGAGCAGAAACGGCGTGATCGAATAATGACAGATTGCAGGGAAAAATTGTAAAAATAATCAGAAATCGTGAAGATCAAAAGGATATGAGACGGTGAGGACGAATGAGTCGCCGACGGAAGCGAGATTGAGCTTGGTGCCGGGGATGGCGAAGTTCTGGAGATCGGTGGGGGAGCAGTAGGCGAGATTGGTTAAAGCGAGATCTGGGGCGGGGGTGTTGGTGACGGTCATCATCACCGCTGGCGAAGAGGAGGATAAGCCGAACCGGCCGGCCATTTTTTGATCGGAGACGGAAAGAGTTCTGGGTGGAGGATTTCTGGTTCCTTTGGTTGTAAGAAATGGAGAATAAAAGCTTTTGTCTAATTTTTCTGCTTTGATTGGAAAGAGACGATGAACTTTGAAATTTTTGGATTTTTGTGTTTCTAGAAGCCCAAATAAAAGCCCAAAACGAACAGCTCGATTTAATCGCAAAATGTCGGTCCCTTTTTAATAAGCCTTGAAGCCCAATATATGTGCGTAGGTTTTTTTTTTTTTTTTTTTTTTTTTTTTTTGGTCAAACAGTGATGTTAGATTAGTCATCGATGCAAAGGCTCAACTCATTTCTACCATTATGGTAAATGGTCACTTGCAGTGAAAAGTTTTAAATTTAATAAGTTCTTAATAAAATATTAAATTCAACACAAATATAATATATATCTTCAAATCGTCTATATGAGCCAAACTTACAAGTGAAGAGATATTCATTATGCCCCCAATTTCTACTTTTTGGAACCCCTAGTATAATCACTTGTCCTTGAATGTGAGATTTGAATTTCATGTCTTCTTTGCTAAAATAGCTTATATAAAAAATTTCAAAACCTAAAAAGAAAATCAGACACAATGATGAGGAAAGATCAAAACTTTTTGCTTAAACTTTAAATCAGTTTGAAATTGTTTTTAGAATGGTTATAGCACTTTGATAAAATAATTTATAAGTACCTTTAGCGCTTAAAAACACTTATGGATAGTTTGATAATCATTTTATTTTTATTTTTATTTTTCACTTGTTTAAAAACTGAAAACCTTAAAAGTCGTTTGATAACTATTTTATTTCAGTTTTCAATTTTTGTTTTTAATTTTTTTGAAATCTAAAAACTAAAACCGTACTTGATAACTATTTTAGTTTAAAAAAATCAAAATTAATTTCTTGAGTTTTCAAAATTTATCCTTGAGTTTTTACTTTTTGATTTTTAGTTTTCATTCTTTTTTATAAAATTAAAAATTGAACGTTGTTACCAAATAAATTTTTAATTTTCTATTTTTGAAAAGGTGAAAACGAAATGGTTATCAAACCACTTATATAGTAACTACTTTCAGTTTCAGTTTTAAGAAGGAAAAAAAAAATTAAAACTAAAAACTATTTATTGAGTTTATTTCCAATTTTCAAAATTTGATCTTGAGTTTTGAGTTTTCTTTCTGAAAGTAGTTTAGCAAAACTCAAACAAAACTCTCCTTCAACAAAATTTCAATTTTCAGTTTTATAAAATATAAAAAATCAAAATTAATCTGAAAACTGAAAAAAGAGCAATTTAACAAAGGATTAATTAGATAAAAGCGCTTCATGTAACATCCCGTCCCAAAATTCTTATTAACGTACGTGTGAAATTACAACCTTGCCCCTAGTTCGTTTTGGTCACGTTATTGGTTGTTTTGTGTGGTATGGCATGGGTTGGACCACACACACACTCTCACACTCACTGTCACTCTCCCTCACCCTCTGTCTCTTTCTCTCTCTCTCTCCCCCCGAGTCCTCTATTCTTCTTCTTCTTCAAAAAACGTACGGACACTCACACAACCCCTCAAACCTGGACAGATCGAGGGAACCAAGGACACCATCGAGTTTGTGAGGCTGTGAGGAGTCCAGTGATACCCTTTTCAGGTAAGAACATCGACGTTTTCACGTCGATTCCTTAAATTCCGATTTGAGTACTGTTCATGCAACATTAATTTACTTAGTTTTTGGACATTTGAAGCTTGTAAATGTGTTGGTGAGGTCCCAAGGAGCTTGGGAGTGCATCGTTGGACGGATTTGGACGTCGAAATCACAAACTGTAAGTTTAGGCCAGATTTTCATATTTTTAGAAAGTTTGATTCCGTTGTTTTTAGGCTCTAAAACTAGTTCAACGTGGTAGATGAGGTTTAGGGCTTCATTTTGGTATAAAATACGTGAAAAATGGATGAAAAACGACGGAGAATAGTGGGTTTGAACTTTCCCAGTTTTTCCGGTGGCCGGAGTCCGGCGAGGGTTGATCGGAGAAGAAGGGAGAATATTCCGTTAAGGTTTAACGGAATATTCCTAACGGCAGTGACGGCGTCAGTTAGGTTTAACGGAATATTCCGTTAGGTTAACGGAATATTCCTGACGACGTCACTTGACGCCGTCAGTGTGCCTGGCACGTGGCCGCGCGTGGGGACGCGTGGGTCCGTGCCTGGTTTGGCACGTGAGGGCGCGTGGAAGGTCCAAAAATTATTTTAAAAATATGGGTGTGATCGTGAGGTTGCGTAGATCACGTTGGTATATTCATTTGTCCATTTTGAGCAATGTATGAGAAGTTATTTTGAACGGACGGTTATGTGCTTTAAAGTTAACGTTTTTATAGTTAATTCGCATATAGGTGACACGTATCCCGAGGACGAGCGTGCACATTCGAGGCAGGGGGGCTACGACCCTTCCACATACCAGTGAGTGGGCTTTTGTTTTCCGTATATACCTATGTACATATTATTCCCAGAATTTAGTATGAATGCTTCGTTACATGCCATTCCTTTTACGTTATTGGTTGATACGCATGATTAGTGGCATATAAGTTGGTTTATATATTTATTCATATGTCATATACATATACGTTGGTGCTGTGGCGGCCTAGGTAAGTGCCAGGTAAGCGTTATTTAACGATTGCATTAAATAGTGGTTAGAGATGCTTAGAGAGCTCATAACCTGCACCCCCGGTGTTAGTGCTCCCGCCCAGAGTAGGGCACAGTCCTTCACGTGTTGTTCACCTCCCGCACCACACGCTCAGCTTGAATCCAAGTTAGGTGCACAGTCTTGTCGTACAGACCACTTTAGGTGGTTCCGACTCGTAGGTGACCCGCGACTATTCGCACAGCCTTCACGTGATCGTAGCACTAGAGCGATCATATGTATTACACCCAGGCCTGTCGTACAGACCACTATAGGTGGTTCCGACTCGTGGGCAGGTTTAGTGATTAAGTTTGAGATTTGAGCTCTAGATTCAGCCGTACAGGTCACTTAGGGGACTCCGGCTGCCAGTTTATTATGCTATTGATGTGATTTATACCTGAGCACATGCATGATATTATGAAGTTTTGTGATGGCATACCTTGAGCATGATTTGGCATGTCTACGTATATATGTTTGTTTTCTGGGAAGTATACAGGTTTTACGGCGAGGGGTTAGATTATATTTATTGAAATGGTTTTCAAAGAATTGGTTTTTGCCCACTCACGCTTTTGTTTTGCGCCCCTCCAGGTTCTAGTAGCTTAGCGGGTTCGGTGGTTTTTCCCCAGAGGACGTCCCGGCATTCTGACAGGCACTCATTTATGTAGGGTCACCTTCGAGTGCACTATTGTTGTATCGTTTCTTTTGGACTGCTGTAGGCTTCAAGCTCTGAACTCAGTGACTTGCTTACGCTAGCACATACTTTATCACATTATATTTGCTAGTTTTTAAATTATTCGTACTTTTATATTATTTCCTTTAGCTTCCGCACTGTGCACATGGCTACGTCACTTCCACGTGACGGCCAGCATGCCCTGACCTCGGTTGGGGTGTGTCACTTCAATTCTACATCTTATTAATTAAGCATTTGTGGGTTCTCAACTTTTTATTAAAACACCTTGTATTTTGATTAAGGTGCTTCCATCTTTATCCATGTCATTTTTTAATTCCCAACTCATCATTTTAAGTAAATTTTAAGGAAAACAAAAAAAATGAAAATAAGAGTTATTTATATTGAAACTGATCAAATCTAAAATCCCTTAATTCATGGAAAGAAAATAAGTTTGAAAATTTTGATTGAGTCATTATCCCAATAATTAATTGTTAAGAATTTGATATAATTAATTTTCAGTACAAAGTTTTAATATGAAAAATTCTCTTTTTTTATGGGTCATAACGTACCATGTACGTACCAAGGTTAGGTTAACGCATTGTACCAATACCATGGTACATACTAAAACAAGAATCACATAACATATCAAAATATTAATACGTACCAAAACTAAGATTATATAATGTACCAATTATGTAACAAGTTATTGGTACGTTATGTTTAATACATATGTGCATTCATATATCATGTCCATAATTGATATGTTATGTTTAATAGAATGTTAGTTGTATTTTTAGAATTTTAATGATATTTTTTATTTGAGTAATGAAAAGTGTCGTTTGAAATGAATTATTGGATAATATATTTCCTAGATTTTAGGATTTATGTGATATTATTTTGTCATTTGATTGGTAAACAAAATATATGTAATTTTTATTATCAAAAATTAGATAAAAATATTTGATCAAAAATCTAAAAGTTGCAAATGTTAAATTTAAGAATTTTAAAACTGAGATGCCTATATCAAACCACCCTTTTAGCAAAACCCAAAGAAAACCCCCCACCAAATTATGACCAACCGAAATATCGGCCACCTCAAAACCCCAAACTTGAGAAAGCTAAAACCCTAGCCCCAAAGAGCCATAACGACGCTCATGGCGACCCGACGGCGCCTCCAAGCTCTGACCCGCCACGCCTCCGCCTTCTTCTCCAAAAGCCCTTCATTCCACTCCCTCCCACCTCCCCTCCCCATCTACCAACCCCTCAAAACCCTCACCTCCAATTTCTCCCTCATTTCCTCCAGCCCCGATCCCACTCGCTCACTTACCCGCCATTTCTCGTCGAAACCTCGAATCGGCGACGTAAATGAAGACAATGAGCACAGTGAAGAGGAGGAAGACGACGACGACGACGACGAAGAAGTTGGGGACAGTGAGGACGAGAGTGCTTACCGATGCAGCGGTTCGAAAAGAGAGTATACTCCAGAGGAAAAAGTGGCGGAGGCCGCCACCATTGGGTACCAAGTGATTGGACCGCTTCAGAGGTCTGATCGGGTTTTCAAGCCGGTTTTCGCGGTGGTTCAGGTTCGTCTGTAGAGTGGATTATTATCTTTGGGCGTCGAATGAGACTGTTGTATTGGTAGGATTGGTTTTGATGAATGTGATTATGTGGTGGTGTTGTTGTAGGTTGGTTCACATCAGTTCAAGGTTAGCAACGGGGACTGCATTTTCACAGAAAAGTTGAAATTCTGCGAAGTGAATGATAAGGTCGGTACAGATTAATTGTTGCGTGTTGCGTATTCAGGTGTTAGGATATCATCGGTTGTTATGTATGCGTTAACTTTATGTTGCAAACTTGTACTGCATTTACCCACAGGAATAATGTCAATACTCATAGTCGCTGAAATTGAAATTTGAAGTCTTTAGCTGTTCAGTTCACTGGTGGTATGTTAATGTTTGGCATCCATTCTGCGTTCGCTACTATTTGATCAATTGAATTTGTGTTTTCCAAGATTATGACTCTTCGGTGGGCTTAAAAGGAGCTCTTAATTAGAATTTGGAAGCAACGTCCTATGCCGGGGGGAAAGTAATTTTTGTAGAAAAGTAGTTTCCGCGTGATATGAATTGAGCGTTATGTTAATGGGCTTACAGGTGGAAATGAATACCTTTGGTGAGATCTTAGGAGTTGCACTGGTTTTGGTAAATATTTAGACTAGGAAGATGGTTTTGTGACCAGCATTGAGGGCCACCTAAGTTCGAAGTACCATAATTTTGGATGCTATTTCTTTTCCATTGGTGTTCGTTTTGTATCCGAGCCCTCAAGAGGGCAAGCCGGACTTGCGAGCGAACATTCGGTTTTCCTGTTATCTATTGATTCTATCCTTTCTGTGTTGTTTTGTAATAAATCTCTTGATCTCTATTAGAAATTAGCAAAGTACATAAAATTATTGTATCCTTGTTTAAGATCAAATAATTGTATTATTTCATAATTTTTTGGTAGACGACATTGTAATTTTCATAAATGAACTCTATTGTCTGATGTTTTGCTTGCTTGTTTATTGCAGTTAGTATTGAACAAGGTTCTCATGCTGGGCTCAAGTAGTCAGACAATAATTGGTAGGCCCATATTACCAGATGCAGCAGTTCATGCGGTTGTTGAGGAGCACGTAAGTGTGACAGCACTGTTTCTCTTTTCTTACCGCTGTGTGCGTGAGTGTCACAGGCAAGAAGAAAAATGAATATATGTATGCTTCAAAATCCAACCAAAGAGTCACAGTACTGTAGTTTCTTTTTTCCTCACTGGCACTAGAATATAAATTTGTAACCATTACAATACATATACATTGGTTCTCTTCACCTTTGGAATTTATATTTGTATTGTTCCTTTTCCTTTTTTCATCTCAGGCATTAGATGCAAAGGTAATTATTTTTAAGAAAAAGAGGAGGAAGAATTACCGTCGAACCAAAGGACATCGCCAGGTATGTTCGGGAACCTTGTCCAAGCAGTCACAACTTCTTTTCTTAGTACATTGATTATCATTTTTTTTATGTTTCTTTCAGGAATTGACTAAGTTGAGGATAGTTGATGTTCAAGGAATTGAGAAACCAGAGCCTGTAGTCACTGAAAAGCCTCCAAAGGCTCCAAAGGCACCCGGTAAGAAAACGGAAAAGGTTGCAGTTGCTGCTTAGGATAGACATTCACTATGGCTGAACATTAGCAATAATGGCACTCTGCTCATAATGTTGTGCTTTTATGGTGAGCATAATCAGATTCCTACGTTGCTCCACGCACAGTTTTGGCTGTCATTCGAAATAGAAAATTTAGAATTTAACCGGGGTGGTGGTTGTAGGATTTGTGTCCCAAATTTTTGCCAATTTTATCTTCTGTATTTAGGAGTGCAAATTATGAAATCCCCCTAGCTGATTGAATCGGTCTTGCTCCTCATGATCTTTAGTAATCTTTTGTTTGTGCTCAGTCTTGACTCGTGATGTCAACGATGATGCAACTCGTGCATGATCCATAAGTGTGTTTCTTTCACAATTCATTGTACGGCATGTCTCTGTTTTCTTATCGTGTCATGAATGCATGTTGGTCGAAACTTAGATTGAATCGAAGTTGGAAGTTCCATTGGTCGAAATTAAGTTCAAGTTGTATCCTTCTTTTCAGTTGAATGAATAATATGTGCGTCCCCAAATTCCCTAAAATAACGTTTGGTGGCTAACTAGTAAAGCTAAAACCTTTTTGTTGTCACTTTTTAGTTTTTGTGTGATTTGTTTTTGGTCAACTTGCAGAACCTTGATAGTGGTTTCTAATTTGGAATGGTACATCCACCAACATCAAAAAAATTTCTCTAAGCTTTAACTAACTTAGACCATTAATTTCTGACCTATACGGGCACTTTCGGACCTTTTTGGACCAATAGGTTTTATGTTACGTCAATTCGAACTTTGTCGACCTCTTTTGTTTACACCTTATAAGGCAATACGCCAGTCTAATTGTTGTACATTACTATGTTAAGGTTAAACCAATGGCAACCAAATTAGGAAATCATTGTCTTTTGGTTTCTGGTTTAAATTAATCTAAATTGCACGGTGCCCAGGAGGGTCATATGACCCTTCTGAGGGCTGGTTTGGAATTGCTGTGCTTTGAAAAAAAACTGCTTCTGTTGTGCTGTGAGAATAAGCAGTTGTGAAATAAAACAGTAGAGTGTTTGGTAAACTTTTTTGTAAAAGCGCTTTTGAAAAAAAAAAAAACAGTATTATAGTGTTTAGTAAGCTTTTATGTAAAACAGATGTGAAAAAAAGCCGGTTTTTCAAAGCTGGGTTTTGCAGCTTCTTGTTTGTGGCTTTTTTTCATCCAAAATTGTGAAAAAAAACTGAAGCTGAATGTTTACCAAACACAAAAACAGCTCCCAACTTTTTTTGATACCAACTTTTTTCAGAATCACATCAGTACCAAACCAGGCCTTACAATTTTGAAATGATGTCATTTTTTTTGAACAAAAATTATTATCTAACTAAGAGAGTGGGAGAGTGGGAGAGTGGGCTAAGCTTCGCAATAGGCGAGCAATACTGTGGTTGTAAGGAATACCATTAAATTGTAGTACTAAGTGACGGAAATGTTATATTTATATGTGCTATATTGATGTGGGTTGGCTTTTATGTTTAAAGTTGACCCTCACAAAAGTAATTTGCTCACAGTTAGAGTTCAACTCTTAATTTCATATTTTCGTTATTTGCCTCTTAATCAAATAAAAGATATTTAATTTCATGTCTTAATATTTATATGCAATTTGCACCAAGGTGCATTTTTTGGGGTCAAAGGTAGAGTAATTCATTAAACAAAGTCCAAACAAACATAAACAACTTACAACGGACCCTAAAAAGGATTAGCATACAAAAGAATGTCACTAATGCAACAAAAGATGAGGAATGATTTCTTTCTGCAACGAGTACAAAAACGGTGAATAACATAAATGCATAAGGGGTTTCAACACAAATATAAATAGAGTAAACTGCCGATTTTCCCCTTGAACTATCACCCAACTTTTGATTTCACCCTTGAACTTTTTAATTGGAAAATTAAGGACTTAAACTAATTTTTTTGGCCGATTTGCTCCCTGCTATTAACTTTTCATTCATTCCATCCAAATTTCTGTTAAATGGAAGCATGTGCACAACATGTGTGGGTAGTTTGGTCGCTTCATTCTTTAAACTAATTGAAAACCTTAAATTTCTAAAATATAAACCTATGCAAATATGTGTGATTATATAGCTTTTGTGACTTAAATCTAGTGAAGTGACGCTTTTGTCCACAAGGGAGAGTTACGTGGTTTGCACATGATAAGAGTTAATGTTAATTTGGATGAAATCTATGAAAACTAATGGTAGGGGGGAAATCGGCCAAAAAAAATTAGTTTAAGTCCTTAATTTTCCAATTAAAATGTTCAGAGGGGAAATGGAAAGTTGGGTGATAGTTCATGGGGCAAATTGGCAGTTTACTCATATAAATATCCTCTTAAGTGGCCCAACCAATCGAGACCCAAAAGTGACTAATAGAGAAAACCTTAGAAGCCTATGTGAGGGATGGCCAGCCTCAGAAGCTCAAAACCCAAAGGCGATGAACCACACACCGCCAATTTCACACCACAAAATAACAATTGCTCCCTAGATCATACACCAAGGTGCACATGTATGATTGTTTTTTGCCATAAAGCGTCATTTGCTATAATGTAATTAATCAAATCATAATGATATAGAGGTTAGAAACTTAAAATATTTTTTATGCTAAACAAGTTAAGTAATTTTTATATATAATCTCTATTTATTATGATTTTATTATCACTTAAGATTGATTTTTTTTAACACAATTTCTGAATATGCTACTAATTGCGGAAAATGAACTTGAACTCAAATATACAAAACGAGCGCATCCACTCTAACCAATGCAACTAAACCAACGTCGGAAGAGGAAGGATTGTCTTTAGATTCGTTTTACATATGCTTATATAATACGAATAGAGAGGGAAAGAGAGAGAGAGAGAATGGTCGAGACTCCAATTTTTTTTCGTTACGCAAATGATGTGTGAATGGACTAAAGCAAACAGCAGCATATCATACGTGCAGATCTGTTTCGTTGACCCAAAACCTGGCTTAGATGAGACTCATCACTTTCGGCCATCATGCCATATGGCATTTTTTCTTTTGTGTATATCCCCCCACTTATTTGTCGAAGGTCCCACGATTCCTATAGTTTCAAGAAAGCATTCCTGTGCATGCCAGTTACGTCACTCCCCACCAGCATAATGCTTTTTATTTTGTATGAATTTGGTTCTCTCTTTTCTTCTCTGTTTATGGGATTTTGAACTCGTTATCGTTATCTTTGAGATTTAAACATATAATTTGTTGTAATTTATGATGTCGTAACTCATGATTTGTTCATTTTGTATGAGATTTGAACTTGAAATATATTATCATTTATGAGATTTGAACTCACAATTTATCGTATTTATAATACTGCAACTCATGATTGGTCCTCTTTTTATATAATTTGAACTTCTGTCATCATCTATGAGATTTGAGCTCATGATTTGTCGTAGTTTACGATACCGTAACCCATGATTTGTCCTCTTTTTATGAGATTTGAATTTGTGATATGTCGTCATCTATGAGACTTGAACTCATGATTTGTCGTAGTTTATGATGAGATTTGAACTCATGATTTGTCTTAGTTTATAGTAATGTAACTCATAATTTCTCCTCTTTTTATGAGATTTACTTGTGATATGTCGTCATCTAATGAGATTTGAACTCATGATTTGTCGTAGTTTATGATGAGATTTGAACTCATGATTTGTCCTCTTTTATGAGATTTGAACTTATCTGTCATCGTCTATGAGATTTGAACTAGTAATTTACCGTAGTTTATAATATTGTAACTCATGATTTGTTGTCTGTGGAATTTCGCATATTATTTTGCATGTTTACTTAGAATTAGATCTCAACTATAGAAGATAACATCTCAATTTATAACCCATGATTCGAATTGCAAGCGAGCACATTAAAATGTGCTCAATTAGAATGAGTGGAAGAAGCAGGAGCGCTTAAGGGGGACAGCTGGAGAGAGTGCTTATAGGTCATTTGGGTAATTGACCCAACTAAATCCACTTCTATGATTTATTTTTCTTTGAAGTCCAATCTTTTCTGTTGGTGTTGCTCTGGATGGCTGAAGGGCCGGCTGAAGGTAAAAGGAGAATATCCCTCTTCCATGAACAAAAGTGCTTTTTTAAGTGGACTAATCACCTTCTCTTTGCCACCCATCTACAAAACTATATTTGTGCAGAGTTGGGTATTTTCCCTAAAGCACTTTTGCATCCCACTTTCAGTTTAATATGATTATGCTAATGGAATTCTTTGTCACTTTAATAGTTTCTCCACTTCATCTCATTCATACAGATTTTCCTAATAAATCTCCACGAATACCATCTTAACTAACCTAATTATGTCATTAGTTAATTAATTCTCTCTGTCTTTGTACTATTACAGAATATGATCGGGTTGACGACGACAGAATAGCATATTATCTTTCCTAAACTGTTCTTAATAAGCGTCTTGGACCAATAATGACCACTAATTATAATACTCGGTTTCTGTTCATGATAAACACTAAGCTAATCTGTCTCCCCGATCTCATTAACAGACATGATTTAGTGTGACTTAAAAGTAGTTAAACGTCATTTACCTTACAATTAAGATACTAACTGGTTCTTTAAGAAAACGATTTATGTCTACAAAGACTCTTACAATGCATCTACATTGACACTACAAAAATACGTTGTTACAACGCTGATTATCATAAAACTAGGTCTCGGACCAACACACACACACATATATCGCTCTTTTCGTCCATGCTACTATGTTAGTCGAATAAAAAAATTCGAGGCTTAAGGCAATTATATAGGCATCGTTTTCACGATGAATATCACCGGATTATAGACTAGATCGATACCAGCTAATTGCATGTTGACTCCAAAGAGGTTGCCTTTATGCAGGCCCTAATGCCTTGTACACGTGGAGCTGTGAGTTGTGATTTGGATAATATAATTTGTACTGCTAGGTCACAGGCGCATTTGATTGCAAATCCAAGCAAATGAAAGAAGACTTTTTTAGTCAAAATCATTTCTGAGGTTTGCATAACTCATTACTTTGATATTTAAGTTTTGAAATCAATAGAAGTGATCAATGAGTTTGTCCACCATCAATCATTTTGATCATTCCATGAAAAAGACAAAAACACCCTGAATTTAATAAATAATGGGCCAAATGATTTGACAAAAATTAAGAGTATTTTTGTCATTTTAGCCTTATTTAATGGAGATTTTCCATGGAATGACTAAAATGATTGATGATGGATAAACTCAGATGCTACTTTTATTAATTTCAAATCTTAGAGATCAAAGTGATAAGTTTTGCAAA